TTTCTCAAAATGTCCTGTAACTGTGGTGAGTCACCTGTACTCTTGTTCAGGGAAGCCACGGAGACCCCATGAGATGTACTTGAACCAGTGTCTAGTCTACGAAGAGGAGGCTCAACTAAGGAAACATCTCATTCATGCTTCCAAGTGAAGCCAGACATGGTTGAGCAGGACTTTTGACTTATCTTCACATAGATGGAACTGATAAAAGAAAGGAGCCAGGAGCTCCTCCCAAGCCCATGTGACCCTGAGGAACAGATCCTCAAATAAATGAACAGCAGACCCCAATCTTATCTAAAGGAATATTGACAACTAATTGCTGCTTGATGAGGAACAGCCGATCTTCCTAAAACAAGGTTCTCTAGATAGGCTGACTAGATTCAACAGACTGACAAGCACTGGAGAATGGCTGGGGGTGTCGACAACATAGAGGACAGTAACAGTGATGACAGAGTGTGTGGGCTCCAGTGTTTGGGAGGGGGGAGGCTATGGAAGGGTGCCATTTTGGAAGTGGGTGTATAGATGAATAAGACTGTGTGGGATGTCCTGTATGATATAGACACAGAAAAAATAAACAAATTAAAAAGACTTATATTTGAGGAAGAAGCATAAAAATGTACTTCATGTTAAATAGTAGAGGTGATAAACATTACCAGTGAAATCTACCTGATGACTTTATATCCATACTCAGGTACTAAGGATCTGAGTGTAACCAACTGTGAATAGTAATCATCAGATACATAGAGATTAAAGACACATGTGCGAACATCTAAGTGTTAATGGCATATTTTAAACAGCATATTTTCAAATGAAATGGAGATCTTTAAAGGGTTAAAACTCATTTGATTTTATATCTTAACTGGGTTTATACTGAGTTCAATATTGTATAATGGTATTAATTCAACTGTGAAACTAAAAATTTACAGCTACTTTTGAAAGAGATGTGTCCTTGCTCTGGAGTGTGTTACTGAATACGTTAAAGCTGTCATGAAATGCCTCTTCTTATCATGTGGTTATTAAATTTAAAAAATAATTTAAATAATAATTCTTCAAAGCATAAAAATTTGCTCCTTAATAATTAGTAGATGTGAAAAACATTACCATTGAAATCTACCTGATG